AATTGAATAAAATTTTTTTCAAATTAAAGTAACAATTAATTAAAATTTTAATTACAGTATTGAAATTATTTTAACAAATACTGATGGTATTAAGTTAAAATATTTAAAATACATTAAACGAAGTTTTACAAATCTAAACGCTTTATTTCAAACACAACATTTCAAATAAAATTTTATGACTACAAAAACTTGAAATACAATTATATTTGGTCAATGGATTTCAAATAATTTATTTAAAGTACCAATGTATTTAATGAAAGTATTTTAATACATTTAATGAAATACATATGTATTTTCAATAATTCATGACAAATACAATTGAATTTCAAGTTTTTATTTGAAACACTTCATCAATTAATTGTATTTCATATATTACGTTACACGGTACTTTACCATGAAATTCAAAATTTACATTTTTTGTCTTATTCTATGGCAATCTCTAAACGTAACATACAATGTTTCACAGCAAAATCAGCACTACCATATCATATCTATTAGTATTACCCAAACCCTACTGTTTGAGATTTTTGTAAAAGAACCTAAGGTGAATTCCTTGATCAAAAAGCAGGTGTTACAAGATATATGTTGTATGTGGGATTGTGGGTGCCGTGTGTGGTTTCTCTGTACTCGTCATACTCACAATCCTTGCATATAAGATAAGCTCTTAAATAATATTAAGACACATACAAGTATACATACACATTATTTATAGGCTTAAAGTCATGAGGATAAATATTTATAATTTTTTATTGTTACATTCAATTTTTGTTTTAAATCCATTATAGGGCTTTTTTAAGCAGAAATTCCAAAGGAACATCCCATACTCGAGCGGTCCTAAGACGCTTTCATGTCATATATTCGTATTTGAAATACAATATTTAAGTACAATTTGTAATACAATTGTATTTTATCAAGGTATTTGAAAAAATTAAGTAAAATACAAATGTATTTCAGTAAATAACTATTAAATACTTCATTAAGTACTGTTGTATCTGAAACAATGTAATTCAAAAAAAATTTTACTTCGTACAATTTATTTGTTATAAAGTATTTGAAATACTTTCTATTCAAATACTGTATTTAATATTCGTGTGTATTTAGTATTCGTCGTAATATTATTTAAATACAAATGCATTTAAAATACAAATGTATTTAAAATTTTTATTTGAAATAAAATAGTTTAAATACTGTAATTTCAATCAAAATTACAAATATTGTTTTTAACAATTTTTAATGATTAAAATATTCTATTTCAAATATTTTTGAATTGAAGTATTTTGTTTGAACTACTATTTTAAATATAATATTAAATACAGTATTTACTTCAGATATTTAATTTCAATAAAGTAATTAGATATTTGGGTAACTTGAATTAAAGCTAAAATAAAGTATTTCAGAGTTTTCCAACTCCGTCACATACTGCCCATCTCTGTCCACGAGGACAAATGAATATTATCTATTCTAATAGAAACATTCATGTAACCTTTTTATACGATATTTTGATTTAGAAAAGTTTATGTGTTGTATTTATACTTTTTTCTGAGTTATAATAAATATATTGATTCAGCAAATCATGACTTTTTGCATAAAAATCACTTAATTTCCATACCAGAATATTTGAAAAAATAAAATAAAATTAGATATTTAATTTCCATTCCCAAATTATCATTATAATTCCGAGTGTACATTATTACTACTGTATCATATTTTTAAAATAGAATAAAGAATTATAACCAATATACTATCCAATATTAACAAAAAATAATATTTACATTAATTCTAAAATCACAAATAAAAAACATTTTTAACAAAAATTCTAACGATAAATTTATAAACATATTGATTTACCGTTGTTGTAACCAAGTACTATACATATCCAATTCAAAAAAAAAAGTTTCGGTTACTATCTGTTTGTTCGTTTTACCTGTATAAAGTTTTAAATAAAATGAATGTAAGTAAAATTTAAATCACTTGAGAAAATGGTTTGCTGATTAATCCTAACAGGTAAACGATGCAATTTATAATGAAAATTCAGAAAAGCGTAAACGTAAGTTTTTGAAATATAGTTGATATCAACTTTATATTTGAAAAGGATGAAACACATTGTAATATCAAAATAGTAGGTGAAATATATATTTATAGATGCAGACATTTTATCTACGTTTTACGTGCTGCAGTATCGCAAGAAAGACTAAAAGTTCGTAGAACACGTGAATTAAATGTTACTCAACAAAAAAAACCGTTTGAAAAAGTGGTTTCAAAAAACACACGATGGTAAGTTGTCATATATAATATGTTTACAGGTTACCATATAAACAATTTAAGTAACACTACATGGTTAGATAGAAAGCTGCGAGCTTGCGGAAGCTTTACAGGTGTCGATAAAGAAATTCTCAGTGACACCATTTTAAGGTCAGAAGATTGACATACCAACATTTGGAATTATAAGATGCAGACCTTTGTAGTTGTTGATAACTGTCCAAAAAAATATCACTGTGGTGCAAATGGTATAGCATTTCACCTCATGTCATAAGAAAAATGATTCTTTCTTTCAATTGAATACAAATTTCAGGAGAGTATGCATCTCTATAATCAATGAATGCAATACAACTCAATAAATGTTATTAGTTGTAAAACTAAATAACATTTACGCAATTTATGGGTCTTCTTTATTTAATCATACTGTTATTTTTCATACTTAAGTCATGAGAAAATAATTAGGAAAATTTGAGAAATAAAATATTTTAATTCAAATTTTTTGTACTAAATTCTTTAATATCTTACAATATCAGGGAAAAATGTTGATTTGAGTAAAAAACCAATTGAATTGAACATTTTTTGTATAAATTTTATTAACATATGTCTTACATTATCCTATTCCAGTAACTTACGTATTATAAAATCTATCAGAAAATCTCAGTATATTGCAAGTACATTGTAAAAAGTTCGTTTTCGAAACCCATCAGCTAAAAAATGCTTCAGGCGGAATGAATTTTAATGTACCAAGTAATTTTTTTAATTCATGCAAAACGAGTTAAAATATTTTAAAATGATTTATTACCGGAGTATTGTATCGATCGCCCTTATAACTAGTGTATCATAGATGTAAATAGCTTAAAAACTTCTTGGTCAACATGGTAATGTTTGTAATTATAAAAATGATAACAAAAATAATAATGTTAATAATAATAACAATAATAATAATAAAAATAATAATAACAATAATAATAATAATCATATTAATTCTTCAAATGGAAAAACAATGAAACCATTCAAAGCAAGTCTCTCGTGCAAGGGAATTGAAAATAAAAGTAGAAATCCATTAGTATCTACGTATAACTCCTTCACTGTTTCTTTCAATAACAGAGTGTTACAAAGTAATTTCCTCGTACACAATTTACAGTAGTAAGAATATAAGCGACTACGAGATAAATATCTTCTCATCGTCACTTGTGGGCTTAGTCGTTAAAAAAAAGAGGGACATTCCTTTATTTATGCGTACTATTAATGTAGTTGTAAACATTGCGTACAGAATAACGGTACATGTCAACGTAAGACGCTTCTTTATTAACAAAAAGTAAATAGATAATATGTGGACTTACTCAATAAGTTGTAATACTTCTTTATACTCAGCCTTAATATAATATGCTAAAATTTCATACGTTACCATTATCAATACTCCCTTAACTTTTTTTGGAATAAATACTTCTAATATTGGTGGGATATTCATATTTTATGGAATTCATTTTGATGTAGAAATTAGCTTATCGATTACAGATATCAAAATTTTTTTTCTAATAAGCTACTTCTATATCTTTCAGCCCAATATGTCTACTGCTACGGTTTTTAATGAACTAATAAAAAGGCATAGATCAAAATATTTATAGTTTATAAAAATTATTCTGGGATTTATAACAACTTTAAAGAGATTTTAAATGAAAATAATAATTTGAAACAACGAT